CAGAGTCGATAACATGCGAGAAATGTCAGATGACGTTCAGAACGAAATATCAACTAGCTGTTCACTGTATTAGCTTTCACGGAAACCTTTCATGCAACTCGTTTATTGTTCAGACGTCGTTCAATAGCTGGGCGCAGTTCCAGGTAGGTGTCTTGCTTCTGCGTCCGAAATAGGGTCAAAATACGGAGTGCTTTTCGGCTTGGAAGGGTAGTTTCGCCCTTCCTGGTTTCCTTTATTGGTTCCTGGCTCAGTGCCTGGCTGGCTTAGTGATCTCCTGACTACAGAGGTAGCTTGGCACCTTGTTGGCTGGCTCGCACTTTGGGTGGAAGACATCCTTAACAAGGTGCGATTCCCAACAGGCAATTCGATTCGTTGGAGCTGCGAAATGGTATGAGTGGTCCGATTCAGTCACAGCAATTTATAGGTCTTCACAAAGTGGCCTGTTCAAGCTTTGCTGGGATTCGGTGCCCCCATAAAGGGGAGACGGGCAAGAGAATCGTAATTTGCCGCTCCGCCGCGCGGCGATGGGCGCGGCGTTTTCTTAACTCGTGTTAACCTGTCGATTGGAGCACCGGACTTCATGTAGACCCCGTCATCGTAGACATTCATGACTATTTTCGGTTCTGAATTGCCTGTTGTCGCCATCTACTACCTGGAACCATCGTCATTTGCGGTGCGACGTCGCACGCGACGCCCACCAGCGCGGTGAATTACGATTCTCTTGTCACATACCCCCCCCCCCCATCAAGCCGAACTGCGCCGCATAGTTGCTCTCCTGAGCAGAAACTGTCAGTAATATTCACTGTTTGTAGCCATGGCTGGAGAAGATGGAAAAAAATACGAAGAGTGTGCTAGTCAAAAGTGCAATGCAATCGTTTGGGCAGAAAATTATTCATTCGCATGACTGCCAGTTCGACAAAGCTGTAATGAGCAAGTCTTCCGAAACTAGTAAAGATAAACTGAAGAATTGCCCAGCGTTCGTAAAGGTAGTTTTGATTTCACATTAAATGCAAAAGTATTTTTGATGCCAAAATTATCCGTGTTTCAGGTAGTAGAAAATGAAGATGGAGTTTTAGACTGTGTGGGATTTTTCGATCATCTTGGCCATAGTGAAGAATCGCTGGTGAGTCTTATTTGTGGTACTTTGACGAAGTGTTTCCAAGGGCACACCTGCGTCCGTCTGATGTCCAGAACCCTTGTTTGGACATGATAGCCTTGTTTGCAAGAATAGACAAAGGACTTCGTTCACAGCTCAAAAATACGCTAGGAGGCCCCTTCCTCTTGCGACGAACTCATCGCCCCGCCCACTGGTCACTGCAACGCCCAACTTTCATTTCTTAAAGCTTCCTTGCGATGCGGTTGTTTCGCTTTTTGCTCTCTCCGTTTCCCTGGTGCTAATGTAGTTGAGGGGGGGGAGGTTGCAAATTGACTGTGCCGCTGAAGCCCTTCCTCAAACCAAGGCTTTGACCTAGCGAGTCTATGTCTTCTCTGCGAGACTGTCTCG